AATTTCGAATAACAATTTCAATTCAAAATTTTGTTTCGAGAGAGGCCCCTATAATTTTTGTTTGCGAATGTTAAAGATAAGTACATATAGCACGCCGAACAATCAACTACGTGAAAGCTGGAAATTCTTCGAATTATTTCGGAAACGTGAAATTAATTTAAGCGCAATTTTAATTGTTTCTAATTAAGATCATGCCGCCATATTAAACTCGTTGATAATAACGTATACAAACGCCCAAGTTTTAATTGACGTAACTGGGTCGATTGTTAAATATAATTTCTCCATCGCCAAGATTATTGGTTGTGTGTGTGTGTGTGTGTGTGTGTGTGTGTGTGTGTGTGTATTTGCCGAAACGTATAAATTTCCGTTTATTTTCGGACCCATTTCTTTTTGGGCGTTTAATATATCTATAAATCCGGTATATACGCAACGTTCTGGTAATGTAAACAGGGCAACTGAAATTGCCAAAGGTCATGAGAACGTTCTCGACGATTTTAATTGAGGTATAATATAATATGCGTATCGCAAATATCGTTATTTATTTTAATTTTTATCAATATTGCCAACTCGCGGAAATCTTATCACTAGACTAATAATTAAATTATATGGTTAAAAGGTTTTCGTCTGATTGATATTTCGCTCTCGGATTTTAAAATTTTAAAAAATCTATTGGTCACGTGAAGCCCCCTTTGAGGCCCTTGAAAACACAAAGGAATAAAAATCTTATGGCCGACGAGTATTTTAGTTCAGCTAGCGAAATACAGAGGGCACGAGTCATTGTTATAATTTTGATAGATATTCTTTTTGACTTCTATAACTTACGGATAAAAACTATAAATGTTGGAGGAAGTTACATCCTTACACGTTCAAAGGTTGTGTGAATCTATTCAAACTTAAGTTAAATTTAAGCCTCCGGCTGTCGAGTCACGTTAATCAGTGGTTGAGTGTTTTTTCACAACCCGCGAGCGTAAATTATCAAAGAAAATAAACTGTATATATATATATATATATATATATATATATATATATATATATATATATATATATATATATATATACACCGTTTTCATCCAGTGATGCGTACATTTTAAAGGGTGCGAAAATTAATGAAACTTTGCTTCAAACATATTTCGTCATACGGAAATGCAAGGCGTTAAAGTTTGATGGAAATAATGAAAATTAATTAAAATTTGCGAGAATGCCTGAGATATTTTCAGTTATAATTTCGCGAGGTAGCTGGATTCCTATAGATGCAGGAAATTTTTACAAGCATGAGAATCTTTTCAAAATTGAGTTTAATTACGAAAAATAGTTGTCGATTTTGTTGTGAAATATAAGGAAAAAATATTTTAGAAATAATTAATTTTTTATTTCAGTACCAACTTCCTCGGTAGCACATTTTAAACTTACACTGCTCTACTACACTAAAATCTAAGAATTTGGGTCTTCCATAATATTTGTTAATTTGGTAATCAATTAATTTTGTAGATTCAGGGTACTGTAGACAGCTTGAATATTATTTTGATATGAATATTTCTACAATACAACAATCAAACTTCTGAAATTTGATAGGTAAAAAAAATCCTTCTTAATAATGAAGATATTAATGAAATATTTGGTAAACAGAAAGGGCTATAGCCTCCAGTTTGTTTTGCAAGCCAAACGTCCACGACTATTGATTCTTCAGTTTGGCAGTTCTTTTTTCATTGGAAATACAAAAAAATGACAAAAATTCGCCTTTATATTTCTGATTGTTGTCTTTTCAATTACCCAAGCAAATTTAATAGTATATTATGCAACAAGTGCGGTAAATGGCATTTGACTCATAAGTTTATTTGACACGAGCGGAGCGCAGCGTAGCGAGTTTTTAATAAACGAGTGAGTCAAAAATTTTAACGAACGTGTTGCATACTATACTTTTTCTACGACCGTTAGTTTTTGGGTACATTTTCGCAAAACAACACGAATAAATTCACTGACATGACCATCAGAATTGACAAACGTCTAAATTGAAAGCGTGGGAAATATCTCCGAGAACATCCGATTGCTTCCAAAATCCCGGAAATGTCCGAAGTGGCTCGGATTCATGGCAAACGAAACTGACGTGGTAAAGTGACACTTTCCGCACGCTAAAATGGTAGGTAATTAGGTATTTTACAGACGGGAGTAGAAAATAGTATATTAATAACAAGTGCGGTAAACGACATTTAACTCACGAGTTTATTTGACACGAGCAGAGCGAGTTTTTAATAAACGAGTGAATTAAAAAGTTTACCGGACGTGTTGCATACTATACTTTTTCTACAACCGTTAGTTTTTGGGTACATACATACAAAAAAAAAAGAATTAATTTTCTTTTTTTTTTTTTAATTAAAATTTGACACCTCGTTGGGGTATCACGCAAGAGGGCCGAGAGCTGAGGGTGTTTTAAATTCAAGTAGGAATTCCAAAATAATTTTTTTGTGAAAAAACCATTGGCGTGCAATTTTTCTCTACACGACACGGAAATACTTATTTCAATAAATTTCTGAATCATTATTTTATCTTTCATTAATACAGGTAAAGAATCTCACGGCTTATACGATGGTTCAAAATTTAGGTTAAAGTGAGATATTTTTATAAACTGTTCGACGTAATGACATAATGACAAAATTGATACGTTTACACCGGGATTTTTTGAGTCGAGAAAAATAATTGACCCGTTTTTGCTTGTACGTACCCGGCAGAGGGCGCACCGCTTTAATGAATAGAAATGATACAAAGTGTTTTACTATTTATTTTACTTACTGGAAAAGTATGCGGCGCATCTTGTATAACATTGTATTTTCATAAGCGTCACTTAAGTACATATGAAATATGCATGAATTTTCCCTGCAGAACCGCGCAACGAAATTACGGAACACCCCGTAGAATTAATCCGTTTTGGTATATTGGGACAAGTGGTTCTCATTTTAATCGTTCAAAACTGTGATTGTAATTAGCGTGGACGGGAGGGTGTGAGCGTTGGATATTTGTGCCGTGTGTATTCCCCGCGCTACAACAATAACAACCACCGGCGCCGGGGGTGCGCTCGGCGGCGGTGCGGTCATTCATCGTATCTACATCCCCCAGATCCCTGCCGCCGCCGCCGCCGCCGCGCCGCATTCTCGAATACCGATGCGACCGCGCCACTTTGCATTCGCTTGACTCACACCCCTAAAATGATCCGTACATGTTCACTACAAAAAACGCGAAAAAAAAAACGCGAGCGAAAAAAAAAAAAAAAACTACCCTCAAAATGGCTGCCTGGCAGAAAGCATCTCATTTTAGCTGAAACAGGGGTGGAATTTGTCCTTGTTCCACCCGCGTGATTTCACTTCAGCCCCTTTCACCCTTATAAATATGGCGCCCTGATTGCCAGTATACCAAGCTGGTCTCGGGTCCGCGTGGACCGAAACGCTCGGAACGCGTCGAACCAATCGCCTGCCTCGGTTCCGCCGGACGGGCGAATGCGAGAACGCGATCGCCGCGCCACACCCGTTTTAAATGAGAACGCTAGTTTTCCGCGGCGACAGCCAACGGGCGACGCGCTCCGACCAATCCGCGCGCTCGATTGTAGTCGGTTGCCGGGCAACAAGGTGACGGCTCATGTCAGGTCCGCGTGGACCGTGAGGTGCCAGTACATTGCTTGCAGGATCTGTACGCAGCAGGCAAACCAGCAAAAATAAGAGCCGACCAAAAAAAATATATAACTGGGAGATAAAATCTTGTGGGTCGGGGTGCGGGACCCATCCCGGCAGAACAAAAGCATTTACTCGATATGCGCCGTTGTTATTAAGAGAGAGAGAGGGACCTTTGCGGACGCGCTTAGAATGGTCGAATTTTATTGTTCGTACCTACGGCGACGTTTAATAGAAACTAATTTTTAAGTGTAGGTTGTAATCGGGCGATATAGGTTCGCGCCTGTTATTTGATTGATTCGATAAAAATTTACACGCGGCGCACTAAATTTGTCGCTAAAGCATTTTTGCCGCGTTGTCTATCGCTTTCATAGATTTTATTTTGGGAATTCTCACCAAACGACATTTTACTAACTAAACTAACCAAACCAAAGTGAGGTTTTATATATTTTTGTGCGAACTGAGGTATTTCTCGAGAAACATCGAAGAATGTCGATAGTGAATATTTAAACTTGTAATCGTACTTAGTATTGAAAGTATGGGATATCTGGTGACTAATGTAGACAGTATGCATTGAATAAATTACACAGGTGTGGCCATTTTCTTCTGTTTACAGCTAAAAAATGTTTAAATTTGATGCTTGTTTGCCATGGTTAATATTCTTAGCCTTCTATACTATACCGGTTCTCTATTTTAATTATGCGTAGCACCTTTGAATAATGAAAACAGTGTATAATACGTTTGCTAATGTTTTTTTTTGTCTAACTTCTTTTTAAATATTTTATAAATCTGTCATTATTGGGTGCGAGAGAATTTTCGCCAGATTTCCAAAAATAAATTCGGAAAAAACTCAATAACTACTAAATAAATGGTCCGTAAAATCAGTCCTAGTCTCTTCAAGGCAGTTATGGAAAATAAAAAAAATATTGCAAACTTTGAAATAACATTTCTGACCCATTTTGCTAACATCGCACTGTGTTTACTTCCTTTCAGCCCTCCTCGTAACCTACCCACTATATTTTAAAACCTGGACCTAATTAGTTTCCTTGGGGCGTACGCGTCGCGTACTCGTCGATGACGCAATCAATTTGTGTTCGTCGCCGATCAAGTCAACCTTTCCTTTTTTTTTCGAACGGCGACGTAACTCGCGCCGATGCCGTTGCCGCCGCTATTTTCAGGGGTTGTAAGCTTTTTGTAAAGGAGCGTGGGGTGTGTGTGTGTGTGTGTGTGTGTTAGCGGTTACGCGATGGTGGCTGCGGTGCGCGCGGAGAGCGGTGGCCGGGAGCGCCTCGCGAGCAAGAGAGGTGGGGGGCGAAACTTCAGTCAGTCGTCTGTGAACCGCGTTGGCAAGGTGAAGCGTGCGCCGTTATCTGCTTATCCTTGGATCGCGTTTTACCTAACCAGGACGTTTCTTTGGATTATTAGCTGGATTACCCTATTTTGACAAGTGATGGTTTGAGTGGTGGTGCTTTTGAACGTTGTAGTGGACAATATCGGGTTCGGTTTAGTGTCATCGTCGGGTTTTTGATCAGTTCGATCCCGTAATTACACGTTTTGGCACCGGATTGGGAGCGAGCGGTGGCATCGGTTTGCATTTTCGTGACCCTCACAGTGTCCGTGATCATGTATTGCTGACGTAAAATGTACCCTAGTGCAGGAATGAACGCAGCAGCCGCAGCAGCAGTGGCGGCAGCGCGCCATCCGGTAAGTCTTCCGACGGCTTCCCCGCGTGTCACCGCTTACCCTGAAATTTTCGTTCATCCTTTTTCTATTGTGTGCGTAAGCTGTCGCCTCACACCTAACGCGATTTTTCATTTGATAGAATGCCGAGAATCTTTTTATTTTCTTAGCCGACGCTATATTTCAATTAATAGATCTTTCAAATTCGTTTTTGTGCATTCGTGCGAGCCTATAAACTTTTTCGTGGCTGTGCCTTGAAGAAAAATAATCATTATCCTACAAATTAACGAGAAATTTACTTTCAAAGCATAATACGCACTTGATAGCTATCCGACGGCAACTCGTGGAGGCAAGCACTCTCTGAAATGAGTCAGAGCCATTAATAAGTTCTTGCCTGCCGGTTTTAGATTTTTTTGTGCAATTAATATCGAATTTTCGCTACGAGCTATTGCTTTTTTTTGGTCCACATTTTTGCACAAATTTATCGCGTCATGGGTGCCAATTTGCACTCAACTAGGACCGGGTGTGAGTAACCTATAGACTCGTTCGTTGTCACTAAAACTATATTCTTGGTTTCTGTCAGTTAAAAGTCAAGAACCTCATTATTTGCACGAAAAGTTATATTGACGTCACGCAAAAACTTAGGCATTTGTTATAACTTGTAATAGTTTTTTCCATTTTGGAAAATAGTCTTAAGTACAGAAACAATAAACTGAAAAGTTATTTCTTGTGTTCCAAAGTAAAGGCGAGGTTATTTGGAATCCTATTTAAATCATGACGTCATGTCAGAAACCTGCTTGAACGCAAGTGAAAAATTATTTCTCGCAAAAAAAGTTTGAGTGCCTCCCCGTGGCAGAGGAAAAACGCATCGATGATAATCGTTTATATGAAAACGCGACACAATTTGGCCAAGCGATATTCAAGTATCTAATTATTTATTGTCGTTGGACAAACTTGATGTTATGGCAGGCTATTTTCTGCGGTTTGCGGTTTTTGTAATAATTATTTTTTTCTATGGTTTTCGTTTTCGCCTTTAGCGTCGCCGATTAACTTAAATTGAAATATTTCGACAAATCGAAAAAAAAAACTAGATCCACTTTTAATGAAGCTCTTCAAGGGTTCGTGTTACTGCCCCACAAATAATTTCTTATACTCCTAAAAATTCTTAGTATTAGACTGTTTTCACCTCAGATCTTCATCATGAGGTAAGAAAATTTGGTCCATAGAAAATGGTAAATTTTTGATTTTTTTAAAAAAATATTGGTGCCTTAAAAATCCCTACCGAATTTGTTAAATTCCAATCGGAATTTAATAAATGAAGGGAAATTCGTTTAATTAATTGAATAATTATGAATTCTTGTAGTTTTGTCAACATTGATAACAAACGTCACACCTTAGACCCAATTTGTTTTTTGTTACCTACATAGTGAAATATGCTTTGTTGATTAATGAAAAGTTCTTAAAATGCTAACAAAATTTAAGAAGTAGGCTGTTATTTCACAAAAATTTTGCAGGTTTCACAGATAACAAAAATCGTACAGATCGTACGCACTTCACAGAACTAGAACACCAGATTTCACGGACACGATTTAATATCCCTTTCTTTTCCCCACCAACAACCACCTTGAAATTTGGAAAAAAATTAAATGTTTGCGTTCTTATTTTGTACACAGTGAAAAACAATTAGTTCCTGAAAATATCGGGCAATTAAATATCGAATTCGCGTTTTTTTTTATTGAATTCGTATCTCAACTAAAATATATTTGTTGCAAGAAATTTCTATTTGCCAAGATAAAAGTCTTACACTATTACAAGAAATATGTTTGTATTATTACAATTCAGCTTTATTCATTGCATGGTACACTAGGTGCAATTATTGTTTATTTACGAGAACTTGTCGTTGAAGTAAGAAAACTAAAATATCTATTTCAGGCAATTTAAAATAAATTTTACATTATAACAACAATAATATTTAATTGCTCTTCTGCACCGCAGATGCCTAAAATCACCCATACTTTAAATTTATTTTAACCATAGAAACAATGTTTATTTGAAGAACAATAGATTCCCTAGACCCAGCAATATTCGGTATCCACTTTTTAAGTTTGAGGAATATGTTACATATTAAATAATTTAATTTCTAAATCTCTTCAAACACCTCCCCATTCAGATATTAATTTATTTAGTTTCAACGTTCACAAGCAGCCCATAATAGGATTGCTTGGGTTTGTTTTCGGACTTTGAAGGGTTTTGAGAACATCTTTACGTATAGAGAGCTGTACTGTGTGTGCGCTTGTGCGTTCAATTTTAGAGTATGCTAGATGTGTCTGGCAACCATACTATGCAATGTACAAGAAAAGAATACAGCCTGTGCAGCGTAATTTCCTTAGAGGGATACGTTTTAAATTGGGAATTTAAGGATATAAACTGCGAGGAGATTATGAAGCTTTTGAATCTGACATCTTTGGAGAGTGGGCGCATATTTTTTGACATCGCTATATTGTACAAAATCCTTAATAACTTGATGGATTCACCAGAACTTCTGGCATCTGTTTTCATATTTCTCCTATTAATGCGAGAAATAAGGCTCCTTTTAACATTGATTTTCATAGGACCAACTATGGCATTAACTCGCCTATGAATCGATGTGCAAGCTGACAAATATTTTACTCACAAATAACGAACATATTGATTTGTTTTCTGACTCTCTCAGTAGTTTTAATTGCAAAGTAAAGAAGACTGTTTTTAATCAAAACTTGGTAGTTTAGCAATTGTAAGTTATTGTAAGTGTTATTGTTACTATTTTTCATAGGTTAAACTATATTGTAATGATAATATAAATGCTAAATGCGTGAATAAATTTTTTATTTTTTTAATTTTAACATGGCGGCAATAGAAATGGCGATGCGCTCCCGGCAACGTGTCAGCTCCTATTCCCGTGGGAATGTCAAAAAAAAAGGTAACTGGCGTCAAAAAGATTACGCTTCTGGGAATTAGATTCGAAGAAATATGATAACATACCACTAAATTTAACATTCGCCTTATTCCAAACAATAATTTTTGTATTCCAGTTAATACTAAGCGTATCTGAAGTTGCCGGGAATAAATGAAAAATTATTGGCGCAATTAGAATATAATTTACAAAATTGTGGATTATTGATTCAATATTTTAGTTAAGACAATTAAGGTAAAAATATAATCAATTTTGTCTCAACAAAAGCTTATTAACTGTGAACGTAATTTCATTCTTGTAATTAATTTTTCCGTAACGTTTGTTCATTAAAATGATTTAATTCAGCTCGGGGAAAAATTTCTCTCAGTGTATAATTTAGCAATTAGTTTAGTTTAGTCACCTGTTATAAGTCGAAGAAAAATGCGAATACGTTTAGGGAACACCCTGTATATATTACCGCGACGTCGACGTCCGCGTGACCGCAAGCGCGATCCGCCGCCTCCGAGGAGACGGCGAATGTTGCGTTCGCCAAGACTTTGAAACTTTCTAGTCGAATACAGAAGTTACGCCGCGAGTTTGTAGATGCCGAGTATCCGCCGATATGTTATGTTTGTGTGTGTGTGTGTGTAGGCAACTTGTTATAATTAAGTAGATTCATGTCGCGCATGTAGGTATAACATGTTTACTGCAAATTTATTCTCAACCGCGGCGTGATCGGGGAGAGGTTGTGTGCGTGCGTGCGCGCGCGCCTCCTTGTTTGTGTGTGTGTGTGTGTGTGTGTGTGTGTGTGTGTGCGCCGGTGACAATTTTAGCATCCTAATGCGACCCGAGCTGAATGACGACGTAGGTATGTATATATAGAAAGAGAGAGGTGTACGGCGCGGCGAGGTCGATGACTCGCCATATTAATTGCGATGTTAACTCCGCGCGCTAACTACCAATTAGTGGCCGCGTTTACACCGATAAGGTTACGTCGCCGTCTCCGTTTGTGGGAAAAAGTCCGCCGCCCGAGCTGGGCCGATTGTTCTCCGCGGCCGATGAGAATGGCGTCGGCCGAGCTATATAGCGGCCGGCGGTAATTGGAATTCAGCCGGGGATTTTATTTTCCTCCTCGTCTTCTTCCCATTCTCGGAAAACCGCGACGTGTGCGAACGCGGGAGGAGGAAATCTCGGGCCGCGTCCCGGTTTTGGCACGTGTGTTGCGGTGGTTCCGTGACGATGAACTATGGGAACGACCCCCATATAAACTCTTAGACATATTTCAGGAAATGTAAAAATTACGATTTGGTACTCGTACAATTAATAACATTCTCCCAAACTTAAAGGTATATTTTCGGGGGTAAATCACCACTCAAAAATGGTGCACCAGGTTTCACACAACCACGAGACTTGACTGATTGAAAATTGCGTGTCACCGGAAATATCGATCTGATACAATAGTAAAAATAATAATAACATTTATTTCATATACCAAATGCACAGTGAACATAAGAAATTTGGGAAGATTATAGCTAAGTTCATTTTAATATTTTCATTAATTTTATTCACAGCTAATTTATCACTTCCATAATGTCATAGTCAACACCAACAAGCCCCTTAATTTTTGTTTATTTGCAAATACAAATAAATTTTACCACAGGTACTGGCGGCATGATTTGCTACAAATCTGGTTCTTACTGAATGGATGATTGTTTTTTTACGGATTTTGTTAAGACTTAATAGTCTGATGACTGGTTTAATGTAGATTAGTACTTTCGCTTCAGTGAGCAAGTCTTTAGTTTAGTTTGTTTTTGAATAATATTATTTTCAAAACGCGCTTCCGGCTAATTGCTAGCGGTTAAAAAGGTTTATCCGCTACAGCACCCCAAACACACATAGCATATGATAAAGTTGATTCTACTAAAGATTTATATATCCTAATAAGGGAACTCTTTGATAAACTTTGACGTAATATAAAAAATTTATGGAATAATTTGCAAATTTAAGGTTCTGATCAAAAACTACCCCTAAATATTTTAACTTTTTGGTGGAATTTATGTAAAGTAAATATTGTAACTATAACTAACATAAA